CCTGCCCCCCTCTGACCCCGTTGTCCCCTCCTGTCCCCGCCATCCCCTTCTTGCCGCTTCTGTCACCGTCCAGGGCTCGGTGGGAGGCTCGGTGCCCACCCTCTCCTATGGCAGCCGTGGATCTCGGTTCTCCCGCAGTGGGGTCGGAGCTGGGCCTGGAGAGAGACAGGCTCTTCTCAAAACCCCCTCTGAGGCCTGACGGGCCGCGCAGGGAAGCCGGTCGTCCATCTGCTTAAATACAGTTTATTTCTGTAAATGTTATGGATGATGAAAACGTGAAGTCTATGTGAATACATTTCAGTGTATGAAATAGAAAGGGCACAGTGACTCACGCTGAACTTCTGAAGGTGCCACGAGGGAGGTGAATGTCTGAAGAGTTCCCCTCCTCTCCTGAGACACCCAGGGGTGCAGACTGGAGGACGGACCTGTGAGTGGAGAAGGTTTGAAATTCTGGGTATATTTTGTAAAACCCCGGGTGAGGAAGACAGAAAGTTTGGCCAGCCATTCCTGTCAGTGGGCGTTAGTGCGGCGAGGCCAGTGCCCAGAACGAGGAGCGCTCAGGCTTCAAAGCCCGGACGCCGGGCGGCGGTGCTGCGTCCATCGGGCCGGCTGGACTCCGGAACAGGGCTGGACCCAGGGAGACAGGAGGACGTTGCTCCCAGGTTTCTCTTGAGCGTCTGGATGGCTTCTTCTAGCCTCGTGGGAAAGGTTAAGATTTGTGAGAATTAAAATTCAAGCACAGCAGTAGAAATTTCATCTTTACAAAAAGTGTGTTAACGTATGAGTTGATCGAGACTCCGCTGTGTACAACCAGGTAAATCAGGTATAAAATAGAGAAAATCTTTGCGCTGCGTAATGAGTACATTTTTTAAAAATTGAACTTTAAAGGTAAAATAGGGAGCAAAGCACACTGCAGTGTTTGGGAAAGCCTGTAAATTAGAATCTGGAAAATTAGGCAGATCCTCAGGGACAAGCGCTGTCCTTTCGCGTTCTTTAAGCAATAGGGAGTAGGTCTCACAACAGTGTTTGCAAACTGGTCCACCCACAGCGTCGGCCTAGCCGGTGATGTGGACAGCGTTCACCGGGTGGCCCTGGAGCCCGAGGTGTAGAAAGCGCCGTGCAGTAACACTGTTGATCGTGGCCGTGGGTTTTAGCGAACCACGGAGTTTGTTGTCATTGCTGGGTCATGGCTGGCACCTGGGGTGTCCCTCGTGCCTCACTAGCCCTGCGTGATATGGGGAAGTGTTGGACCTGGGCCTGGCAGGAGGCAGTTGTGTCGCAGGTGCCTGTGAAAGGGGCATTGCAACCCACCCCATCTCTCCCCGTTGCCATGCACACCAGCGGTGATGCTCTGTGCTGCCAAGGCCGGGAGTCACAGGGCCAACCTGCCCGAAACCGTGAGCCAAAGTCAACCTTTCCTCCTTGAACCTGGTTCATCTCCGGTGCTTTGTCACAGCAGTGGACATCTAACTGATGCTACCCACTGTGTGCTTCTCAAAGCTCCTGAGAACAGAGTTTCCATGAAAGCTAGGCAGCACCATGACATTTTCTCATGAGCCGTTATGACCGTGGAGTCGTGAGTCACCTGCCTTGCAGGCACAGAACAGGAAGGGAACTGCCACCGAGACTGGGTGCTTCGGAGCCCGCCCTGCTGGGTCAGGCCGCTTCTTGGTTTCAGAGCCTAGGTATGAAGGAATGTTAGTTACAATCCTTATTTTCCCAGAGAGCGCATCCTTCAGGGCCGTGGATCTGCCCTGCTGTAGTGAAGGCCAATGTGTTTCCCACAGAATAATGTTGGCACCAGGACAACACACAGGTTTTACAACTTCAGGAGCTTTGCCTCTGGAAGGCTTGCCCGAATGACGCAAGCTACATCTTCACTAGATTATCGATAATCTAGACGTATGTCTGTGGGGGCACATTGGTGATCATAGCACAGTCACTCATAACTAGGGCTTCTGGATTCTCCCATCCATGTAGCAATGAGGCTGAGCCCTGCTTAGCTTCAGGGGTCAGACAAGGGTGAGGCCACGGTGACACAGCTGCAGAGGGGACAATGGATGACTCTGACCAGCCGTAGACGTCTGCTCATTCTACCCAGACCTGCAACAACAGGTCAGCTGCTCCAAATAAGCTGTATCTGAGGATGCTTTAAAACAGACTTTCCACCTAACACAAAGAGACAGAGGTGAGTTTGATGTTGGATAAGCTGGTCAGCAGACCTTTTCTAAGTGTTCTAATTTAAAGGATACATTCCCTAAGAGGAAATAGAAATTTAAAATCTTACATTAGACTTATTCAGTCATTTGTCTGTCTGATGAACTACTTATCCAGTATTTTAACATTTACTACGCATAACAACTGGCCTGGAGTTTCTGAGAATAATAAACATTTGCCGACCTGTAAGAAATTACAGTCTAATAAATAAATAACATTTAAATACTGTACTGTAACTTGTTTTCTAGTAAATGAAGATTATAGATGCTCCACTAGAAAATTAGTTTCCCACAACTGATTCACATACACACACACACCCACACATACCCACATACAGATACTGACTGTGTATTTCTTATCATTTTGTTTTCCATGTTAAATACATGTGTATTATTTTTTCACCATCTTCAGCATACTATGTACAGAATGCTCTTGTCTGAGAAAGTGTAAAGCAGTCGTTTACAGAGGTAAACCTATGACTACTTTTTGTTATCCTAATACAGGGCTCTTGCCCAGTGGCAGGACTGAGCTGCAGAGTGGAGGGTGGTTTGTGGTTGAGTGGTCAGTACCGTGCTTCACCTGTTGCAGTGGCACCAGCATGCAGGATGCGGCCCACTGGACTACGTAAGGACAATGTCATTGTCTGGCGGGAGCCGCTGGTCTGAGGTTTATGACTCCCCAGCTTGCGCCACATTCCCAGCAATGCAGTCACTGTATATAAATATTTTACTTCTTTGTTCATTCCTGGACTTACTGGAGTCTCCAAAAATTAAGCCAGTCCAGCCGGACATAGTGGCACACTCCTGTAATCCCATTACTCAGGAGGCCGAGGCAGGAGGACTACCATGAGTTCAAGGATAGCTTGGGCTACATAAGCAAGTTCAAGGCTTATCTGCACTGTGTAGTGAGACCCTAACACCCACCTCCCCCCAAAATAACAAAAAATATTAAAGCAGTCCCAAGGAGAACATTTTATACTGATAAAGTTTATGATTTATCCTATTCCAAACTTTAGAATCTATAAACGAGGGCTGTTAAAAGTCAAACAGAGCTGAAAGAAATGATTTTATAATCCAAGCGTGAAGAAATGATTTTATAATCCAAGCTTGGTGAATCTTAGTGATTCAGGAGGCTGAGGCAGGAAGACCACTTCAGCCCAAGATTTTTAGGCCCATCTGAGCAACATAGTGAGGGGCTCTGCCTCTTAATAAATTAAAAGAGATTGTACAAACTACCTTATGCTTCTTTAGTAATTTCAGTGTGAAACTTTACCCTAGTATTAGTAATTTCAGTATAAAACCTAACCCTTGTATTGCATGAAATTCTCATAAGGGATTACATACACTACTGCATAATTGATGGTCCAAAATAATCATCATTAATAGGAGAAAACCTAGTACCGGTGGGGAGATATGTCAAATGCCCACTGCTTTCTTGGTTAATAAAGTAGACACAAACTCCCTGCACGTTTGTACCCCTTCTGTGGACTCCGTACGGCTGAGTATCCACCCCTCCACCTAACGCCCAGTGCAAGGCTTTAGGCCGAGCGTTTGTCTTTGCCTTGCTGCTCATCTGTGAAGGGGGCGCGGTGTTAGCAATTACTCCCTACAGAGCTAAGGTAAAGCACATAAAGCCCTTGGAAGAAATACTTCCATTGGACTGACCAAGCTCTCCACCCCTTTCAACTGTGTATTTAGTACATTTAGCAGATGGGGACTTTCTTTTCAGAGAAATGAAGGCTCAGT